ACGCTTCATTACTTGGGAGCGTCAGTATTTTTCACACCCAGGTGCTGCGTTGGGAAGTGCGGGGTCTCTTTCACCGCGTATGGGGAGGTGGGGGCTCTACTTTCTTGAGCAGCTGTGGGACCCACTCCCCAGGACAACATCAGCCAGCAGCCAGGATGCCAATCAGTCTGCAGTTTCGGAAATGAAACCGCCTACAGCTTCCCAGACTTGCACCAGTGGTGCAGGTTAGCGCCTGGTGAGTGTCGGTGTGAGCATGCGCGCCCCGCCTGTCTCCCGAGACACCTGGTGAGGCAGGTGTCCCGGAGCGCAGGACGTACGGACACATACAGGGCGACATGGAAGCAAGCTGTCTTCTTGTGGGGAATTTGCTCCGAGGCTGGAGGACAGCCTTCCAAGGTGGCCGAGAGGAGTCCTCAGCAGGCGATGCTGTTTAGCAAACATCCTGTTCGTTTTTGCTGTGATTTTTGGACTCTCATTTGGCAGTCCTATCACCTCGGAGGTTTACACTTAACAAAATAATCAGTTTGTCTTAACTTCCAAGGGAGTCAAATCTCATGTATGATGCAGTAGATGTATCTGAAATGCAAATCAAAATGTGGCTGTTTTCATTCCCATGTGACTCCTGTCCATACTGAGTGTGACTCCTGCTCTCGTGGGTGACCGCGGACCCCAACGGGACCCTCCCTCCCCGATGAGACCCCTTACGAGGATCAACTGGTCCTCAGCGTTTGGAGAGAGCCATGTGTGGGGTGATGCAGGGGGGTGTGAGCAGAGTCCCCTTGTCTACGCCCCTTGTCCCTGCTCACACCTGCAAGCTGGGCTTGTATGGGCATCCCCAGGGCCCAGCAGACTCTTTCCTGTGGACGTTTTCCTTCTCATCAACACCCCCGCTCCGTTTTCTTGCCACTCCCACCTGGTCCCCTGGATCCTGGTTCTTTCACTCCTATCAGGTTAAATTTAGGGCGGCCTGGGCTCCCACACTGACATTCTTGCCCCACCTGTCCCCCAAATCCTGGAAATGCTTAGCTTCCAGGGCAGGATGTAGTCAGAGCCGTTTTCTGTCCCATCGGCACTGTGGGGTAGAAGCAGGTGTCCTTCTGGAACCTGAAGAAGGGCCGGCATGGTGTTCCCAGCCCTGGGCGGCGGGGGGGCTGCTTTCTCTTTCTCATTTCTTTCTTTCTTCTCTTTTTATTTTTGGTCTATTCAAGATATCTGAAAACCAAACGACAAAACCAGATTTCTTCAATTTCCTGCCAATTTAGCTTTTGGATCTTTTGCTAAAATAAAACCAAAACAGTGCACGTCTCTTTACTTCTTTGAATTCTGATTGCAATCCCTTCTCTCTGTGTGTATGTGTGTATCTTTCAAGCAACAACATTCTGCACGTATAATGTGCCAGGCACTATTCTAGGTGTTTTCACATGTTTCTTTCTCTCTCCCAGCAGCTGCAGAAGTTCAACAGTACTGCTATCCCCGAATCCCAAATGATACAACCAGAGAACAGCCCAACGGGGACGTGAGCTCCAGGGGCACAGCCCTAGAGACATGCCCTTACTTAGCATCCTGTACTCCTTCTCCAAGAGCTTCAAGCAGGACCACTCCCTAATTTCCAGGGCCCAGTGCAAAATAAAAATGCAGGACCCCTTGCTCAAAAATCATTACAAATCTCAAGACGGGGCAGCAGAGGATTAAACCAAGATTAGGAGCCTCCGGAGTGGCCAAGAAGCAGCTCCCTCTCCAAGGGCTGCTTTCTGGTGTGTGTGTGTGTGTGTGTGTGTGCATTTGTGAAAAAAATTATTGCTAGTTTTATATAGAGGGAAAAAGTGAGACACAGAAATTGTTCTGTTGCATACGAGGTGTATCACTGTTTTCGTATTGTGGTTCTCCTTTGCTTATTCCTCTAAAATGACAAGTTAAGTAGCCATTGGGTGGTCTCAATGGACAGTTCAATATCAAAGCATCGTATCAACCATTTCTGGATCAGACGCAGCTCCCCCCTCCTTCCTGAAAGCCCATTAGTTCCCATCTTTGTGATTAGTTTTAAATACAGTGTGTGACACAGAAGGACATTAAAAAAAAGAGAGATTAAACAACAAAAAAAGAACAGTTGCCCCACATCTTTCCACATGCATGAAATTACGTGAGCAGAGAAGGTAGGCTATCTTCTAAATAAATCGTTCTAAGTATTGGTAAGGATCATACCAGCATAAGATTGTAAAAATAAATCTATATAAGCAAGAAGTCCATACTGGTGCTGCATTATTAATGTACGTATATGATTTTATTTGATTGTCTTTATTTTTAAGTGATCTTAAACATAATTTCATTGCATCATTTTTAAAACAACACAAAACTTAGTTGACTTGAATAAGGACGGTGGTGAAGGTGAGGACCTCAAACCAACCTGAAAGTTGGCCTGGCCACAGCTGGGCAGGGACGACAGCACCACTGTGTGGAATCAGTGACCCCGCACGGGCCCCTCACTCTCGTGCATCACCCACGGTGGACGAGGAGCCCCAAAGGATATCAGCAAGACCGGGATCTTGGGCCACTCCCTTTTAACCATGATTAGTTTGTAAAAGTTAATCCAATGTATACAAAGTTACAGAACTGATTTGTGAAAGCAATTACAGATAATCAGCAGTGAAGTGTATTTGATAATCGCCAGCATCCCCGTGGGGGGCCAGACCGATGACAGGTGGACAAAGAGAGTCACGTGGGGTCTGCAGCCCAGCGCTGGCCCGCGTGGCTGCGGTAGGCGGACAGGAACTAGCCCAGTGGGTTGTCACCTCCAGTAGCCTGGTTCTGTGCGATTTTCTGCTGTTTATCATTCAGAGATCTTTCTGGCGGTATTTGCTAAAGCTGGACCTAGGCACAGCCTATGTCACGACAGTTCGACTTCTAGGTATCAATGCCACAGAAATGTGTACATAGGTCTTCCCAGATATTTTCAGAGAATGTTCATAGAAAGTTTAAATGCCCTGTTTTCACGTAATGAGTCTAGATTTTTATATTAGCAACTGAGTCAAAAACTGTAAAGCCACGCAGGAGCCAAGCGAATGGACCCGTGGCCTGCGTTGGTGCGCTGCTCACGGGTTTCAACCTCTCTCCCAGGACAGGCAAGCCTGATTCATAGCTCTAGTTACAAGGGGATTCGTGAAGATCTTCTAGCAATACACTGCACCCCCCCGTAACAACCAGGCTGGGAAGACTCTCCGCCTCTCTCTGCACAGGGCTGAGAAGGAGTGCCGATCTCTCCAGGGGCCCGGTGGGGCTGCCTGTCACTTGGCCGTGGGGACTTGCTGGCTCGTCCATCCGTCCCGCACAGGTGAGCAAGTCAACACCCTCAAGTACTCAGTTATCAGCACCCTTCCTGAGTTTGCATGTAAGGCAAGCGCCTCGTGTCTGGGCCCCTACACTTAACCTTAGAAATGATCTGTTACAGGAAATCCCACTATAACATCATTTCTCCTAAGGCAAATTGGGAGAAAGCTAGGAAAAGGGACGCTGCACCACCGGTGCTCCCGTGGAGACCCCCACCCCACCCCACCACCACGGGGTTACCTCCTCTTTGCCCGTTTCCTCATTGCTAAATAAACTCCTCCTGAACCACTCTGACTTCCCTCACAGTTTCACACTCGAGGAAGATGGGATTCACATTTTAACGCTGGTTTAAACTCAAAGCAAAATAAACGTTAGGAATACTTTATGTGGCAGAATGCATCATCTGCCGATAAACTGTGCTAAGTCATGGAAGAGGAACCGGGAGGCAGCTGTAGACCACAGTGGCTTGGCGTGCAGGCCTGTCAATCTGGAGCACGATCTTCTCTACTCATATGCTCTAAGAAGTACTTATTTTATATCTGTCTCTATAGTGTCGATGTGAACAAATTCTTTTCGAAACAGGTAAGATATTCATAATCGCAAATGCTTTGTTTCCTACCCTAACACATATTACTTTATAATGTTTTACGAGTATGCACTGAATTATTTGCTTATTTTTAAAGATTTATTTATTTTACAGAGAGGGAGAGAGAGCGTGCCTGTGGGGGGGTGGGGCAGAGGGAGAGAGTCTCAAGCAGACTCCCCACTGAGCACAGAGCGGGACGCGGGGCTCGATCTCATGACCCTGAGATCATGACCTGAGCCAAAACCAAGAGTCGGAGGCTCGACTGGCTATACCACCCAGGCGCCCCTGCACTGAATCTTTAAAATGGCATTTAGGTACATGGAGAGAAACCAAAATATGAGTGGTGTTAACCAAACTCAATCAAAAGGCCAGGCAGAAGGCACGAAGTTTTTTTTTATTTGGTGATTCAAGTTAGCAGCAACACTAGGACAATGACTCACCTCCTAGATCAGGACTCCTGCTTGGCCTATACTTTTTAATTATAATATTGTAAAACACAGTAAGTTGCAAAACATATTTGGTTTTAACCAGAAAGCCAAAGTTGTGGTCATCAGAGTTTTAAACAAAGTTTAATCTTAGACACAAAATACAAATCATCTCTTGTTTTGTTCTGAAAAGCATATTCTTAAACACATTTCAATGTGGACTGGAGAAAATGAGTGTAGACCAGGGTCTATTTTTTTCCACCTACGGTTTAAACTAGAGAAGGAAACTGTTTAATGAAGTAAACTCTTTAAACCGATGACATTTACAAAAAAGGCAAGCAGAACAAGGGAGATTGATGTTCTAAAGATGCATTTGTGAATACGATTCTCGATTAGATGGAAAGGAGGGTGATGTCTCTGGCATACCCTCAGCCATGTAACAAGCACATGGCACCGAACACCCTTCAGGATGCCAAGAACTTTAATGAAACCTCAACTTCTGTAAAGCTAATAACATGAGTACGTTTTAAAGGCTGGGATAATAGCAGCAGTTTAAAACAGAAGACTAGGAAATAAAGGGCAAGTAGATTCCATTATTATAAATGTATTCATTAACTTCTAGTGGAGATTTTATTTTTACATAAGAACAATTAGAGCTATTTTTTCACTTCATGCTCGTATGTGTAAGAATCGGAATTACCCCCCGGTAAAGTTTCTGAAGTGACTGAAATTAGCTAGAAAAAAATACATGTTAGGTATAGACACACAACAGAATGACTTCCCTCCTGTGAAAAATATCTGGTGGGCCATCAGGTGATATAATATTACAGATAAAAACTGCAGACTTGAAATAAACCAGAAGAATTTAAATAGTACCTGTATTTTAAGTCCAACTGCTTAATATATTTCAATGTAAGCTTTTAATTACTTTTTCTTATGTCCAATGCAAGATTTCTATCATTTTGTTTTGTTTTGTTTTACTTTCCACAATGTTAACTGCAAAAGGAGAGGGGCATACTTAACCTAAAGAGAAAGGCTGGATCCTGAGATTCCCCAAGAATGTCCTCATGTCCCACAGACACGGACACTTAGTTACGCAGTCGATAATGGAATGCTGTTTTGGAAGAAATGATTTTTGTCCCCTTGCAACCTGTGCTCCGTCCAGGTCAAGAAGCCATGACTAAGTCGTTCAACATGGCATTACAGTGAGAAGCCTACTTCTAGCTTTCCCTAAACGGGCCCTAGTTCTTGTAATTCACATGACACCCTTTGGCTGTGGTTGTCTGTTAAATTTCCTGTTTTGGTCTAGTTTCAGCAAATCAAAACAAGTAGCTCCCAGAAAAGGCTATGGTAACTACTGTTTTTCTTCCTTTTGGTATTTCCAGTTAAGTATCTTCTCCTTAGAGGTACAGAGAAAGGAAGGAACACAGCCACAAACAAGGTGTAAGTAGGTCACAGAAGCTTCAATGCACCAAAAAACGTGCCGTCCCCATCTCGTGATATTTTAGCGTCCTCACGTGGTATTGCAAGCTGGAGCTCATCTCCTTCTTCCAGCTTTGCGATGCCTGGAAAACAATGATTTACAGGGACTTTAAGTGGTTGTACAATGCGGGAGGCAGGGTTGGGGGGGATGCATCAAATAAAACGATGTTATTTTGGAAAAATGTTAACATAGGCATTCACACTTCAAGTGACACCAGCGGACTTCTAGTCCAGTTACTATTCTACCAGCCTAAAAACAAAAACAAAAAAAGCTAAAGCAAATGACCAGAAAGATTTACAACAGATATAAACGTATTTATCACCTACTGTCTATAAAATGGAGACTCTGAACAGAAACCAATGTCTTATTTAAAGAAAAAAAAGTTAAGTAAATCATAGCACATCCCTTGTTGGGATATTTTCTGGTTAAAAGTGGTTTTGCTTCATTTTATTGACAAAATGGTTTATAATAGTGTTTAAAATGTTAAATAAAAATACAAAATAGAAATACAAAAAAAGGATGTTAAATAAAATAAAAAATAGAAATACAAAAAATAAGGATGTTAAATAAAAATACAAAATAAGTACACACACACTAGGCAGTATGTATATACCACATAGACACTGCATAAATACACACTTAAATGTGCATATAAAATGTGTATATTACTAAGAATAAAAAACAAAACACCACGTATTAGCAAAGCCCATCTGTTAACATAGTTTTTCTCTGGAGTCCAGACCATGGGGTTAGGAGTCATTTGGATTATTTTTTATAGCCTTCTATATTTCCATGTGTCCCTAAATGACCATATTTGTCCTCGTAATCAAAAGCAATAAAATACTTAGCTTCTCAAAACTGACCAATAAATCTTTATGTGCCTAATTTACAATGATGTGTTCTGTGATTCAGGAACACAGAATACAATTCAGGAACTACACTTGGTACATCAGTAGGGACCCCATTTTCAAAGACAAACATGAAGGGAAAGAAAGGACAATCAGGGGAGAAGCAAAGAAACTAACAAAATAATATCGAAGTTAGTACTTTCAACCAACAATTTAAAAAGTAGTTGCATTTTCGTGAAGATGCCGTGAAAATGTATTTACACGACTATATTACATATGTTAACATCCATCCTCAAGCCCAAAGCACCCAGATCTCCTCAGGCAACAGCCAGTCTTTATTTATCGAAACTTACGATGTACCAGACACCTTTCTAGACACGCACAGGGCTGTGATCAGAATGACAAAAGATTCTGTCTCCAAGGGTCTTGTTTTTTTTTGTAATGGACTAAGACAGACAACAAACAAAAGAACATAGTTTTCAGGTATCGTGAAGGGTAATGTGCACACGTTTTAGGATTAGCAAAGCATTTGATGACTACATGAAAAAATATAAACTGGAATTTACTTGTTGAATAAATCAGTTCTTATCATAAAGACTGAAGAGAATCTAATATTTTGACAAAGGCTATCGATCACGGAGCATTAAGTAATACTAACTCTCAAAATAAAGTCAGTGTGAACCAATGATTTTCAAGTAGGTTCTGTTTGAAACTCTTAACACTGAGTTTTTGGCTATTTCAATTCTTCCAGATTACAGCAACCAGCTGTAACCTCTAAAACAGACACTCGATTTGTTAGAGAAATAGTGAGTAAGGTCCAGCTTTGCGTAAGGGCAATGCTTGGTGTTATGCTGGGCTCCTCAAATGGACCATTTGCATTTTCTTCCAAGTTATTATGTACGGGAGCACTGCATGCTCTTATGTACTAATAGGTAGGCTTTAATGGTTTTAAGCAGACTGGCGCTAGAACAGATGAGAATTGCAAACCTGGAATGTCCTGGAGAACGGTTCTCATACCCTAACACTAAGCTACGGCACTGAAACACAGATTTCAGGTCTAGTGAATTAGTCTTAAAAGGCGAGGGCCCTGGGAAGTGTGGCCGAGAGCATGAACACGGAGGGGCAATGACCAGCACGGCCCCTGTAAGTACTGCTGAGTCTGGACTCAGTACAGACGGGGGCGGCCACGCTGTCCTGTGGGTTTTCTGCAATGCCAGGATACTGGTTATTGCTGGGTGCAGGGGAACATCTCTTTATGAAAATGAGGGCGTTTCAATTCAACACACTTCCTCATTATCCCCTTACAGCTGTTTATGGCCACGGGTCCACAGTGACAATCGTCTCCGATTTTCCTTCCTTCCTGATTGAGTGATTGTGCACTTGGTAGCAAACACCTTCAAAACTTAGGGTTTCAGAGGCGACCAGGCCCCATGCCTGTGTTTCAGGGAACTGTCTGGAACTGAAGACATTCCCCAGGGTTCTCAATGGATTTGTCAAAGTCACCAGAGAAGAATAAATGTGCTGGAGGCAAATATGGGTTTTTTTCCCCCCTAATACCAGCTTTGATGAATTTACCCTCAAAATAAAATAAAGATTATGTTGGCAATTATAGCCCAAAGAGCTGAGGTGAACAAAGCCCTCCCTTTCTCCTTCTTTTCTCTCCGCATCTTCACTGACCCTGAGCTGAAGGAGCCTTGCTCCTGCTCGTTTCCATCTCAAAGTCACCTGTCCGGTCCTTGTGCACCAGACGTCACCTGAAGGAGAAGGGGAGAAAGCCTCTGGGCAACCTGACTGGACGCTCGACCCAGTCAAGGGCATGTCTTCAGCAGCACGTAAAACAAAAACACAAACAAAAAAAGCTTTGGGGGCTCACACTCTGGGGTCAGGCCGGTTGGTTTAATCCAAGTTCTGGAACTTGGAAGCTGTGCCATCTGGAACAAGGTGTGCTACCTCTCTGTGTCTCAGATGCCGCCTCCCTTAAACAGGAGGATCATACGAAGGAGCCCAGGTCAGGGGCAGACTAGGATGCCTGGCACATGGCAGTCATTCCCTGTGTTCTTACACGGTATTATCTACCGAAGAACGATAAAAATATTAGTCATGATTTTATCCGTTTCGACTCAAACGAACTAGCTCATCCTTCCAGAGAATAAACACCACACAGTATATCGAGGAATGTCTTTCTGTCTATTTATACAGAACTGTTATTTACCAGCTGAATAACAGGAATTATTGGGTAGTGTTTCGGGCATATTTTGAATACATCGGAACAAAGTCACCAGACTCAATTCGTCCCCAAAGACGTGGACTTTTTTCCTCTGTATCAGGTGTCCCATGGCAAAGGTGTTATCGGTGTATAAAACCTGAGGAACAAACAAAGATGCTGGTCAGAAGGGAGCAGGGCAGGGAGCCCCGGGACAGAGGGAGCAGGTGGGCGGGGAACCTACCTGACCGTATATAAAGAAGTAACCGGTTTCTTTCACCACTATTTTATTTTCCTTCTCCTCCAGGGCTCTTCCTCTTTTAAAGCTCAGCAGCCATGGAACGAACGTGTATGCTCCTGTGACAAAGACAGAAGGCTTGTGAGAAGAGCAGTTTTTCACCTCTGCTCAGTGGCCAAACCCGAGTCTGAAACTTAGGGAATTTCATCTTCAAAAAAAGAGGCAAAGGAGACCAATCAGGACGCTCCACTGGTGTTTCAGCCGTGGTTCGCACATGACCCCCCGCGCCCCTCGGGAACCCGAGGGCAAGCACGTCCTAAGAAATGTCTGTGTTTTCTTCGAGTCTTGTGTGCATTTCAGCCATGTTCACCAGAAAGCCTGGTGTGCATAGGACCAAATGGACCAAATGTCTCGGAATGTCGGAGATTTTCTGGTTTTCCTTTGGTTCCCGGATAGGAGGGAGTTAGGATGGGGAGAGTTTAGCGAAGGGCACGGAGGAGGAGGGGAAGGAGCCCCCTCCCCAGAAGGCACCAGAATAGCGCTTAGGGGCAGCAAGGGAGTGACCAAGACACAGTCTCTACTGGACAAGGTCAAGGAACTCGGCAGGACTCGGCTGTGACATGCAAGTGGAAGCGGTTACTGGTCAGCACACAAATTCTCCTCTGTGACCCCTCAGATGCCCCTGGGGAGTCACGGGGGAGCCGCCGAGTGCATGAGCCCAAGGAAGGGGGCACAGAGCTGCTGGTGGTTACAGAAATGGGTGGGCAGGAGGGGGCCCAGTCTCTGCGCCGAACACATGCTCTGGGACAAACACCCGTGAGGAAGGTTATATACTCCTCTCCCGTGAATTCACAGCGTTAAATTCACTGGATTTCTCACCATCGTGTAAAAATACTGGAGTAAACGGTGAACCCTGAGGCTAGGTTAAGAATGCAGGGGTTATAAATAAAATGGCATAAACCAAGTGAAAAGATTAGGGAAGTGGTAATATAAGGAGAGAATAGTGAAATGAAACTGTGGTCTAAAATAGTCTAAAAAATGTTCCCTTATAATTGGTAGTGCTGGACCACATGTGTCCCCAGGCTTCACCTTGGTCATAGCAAAAAGGGAAATAATAGAACTCAGGACAATATGCCACAAGCTCAGAGCAGAACAACTTGTCCTGGACTGAGTTTAAAGAACAATTTCCCTGTGGATTTTTGCAATGGGGGCAGCACCGTAGGATGTGGTGGTTGGTGATGCTTTCAGACTCATAGATACAACTGCTGAAGGAACGTGCCTGCTTCAGCTAGCTCCCCCAAGGCAAACCCATCACATCTGAACTTTTTCTGAACAGGATTGAGGGAAGAGTATAAGACAAGAACCCCCTATTTTCAGGACACTTCAGAGAAGTAAAGAACCCAAGGACACTGTGAATCTGAGTTCCGTCCCCTACAGCAGTCCTCCAAGTCGGCAAGTCCACAGGTGGAGGGCGGGTGGCTGTGAGGGAGACCACGAAAGGAACCACGGGTGCCTGTGGAGACAAGACTCCCGTCCCTCCTCGTGTGTGCTCTCAGGATGCGCCTCTGTCTCCTACGGGGAGGCAGGCCCCCCAGGATTCGGCAGGCCTGATCACCCGGCTCTGCTGTTCCCAAGAAGGTCTGTGAGGAAACTGGGCTTGGATGAAAGCCCCCAGGGCCACACTGCAAGGGGACAGTCCCTAGAGGAAAGGTCTCCTCAGTGACAAGTCACAGAGGCAAGCTCATGATCCGTCATCTGACATTTGTTTAAAGGAGATCATGTGCTCAAGGCACTTTTAAATGAAGAGTGACCAAAATACGAGGAAGAATGACTTATCGTGTTATTATTACTGTAAAACACAATTGATAAGGAAAGAGGGCCGCTCCCGTGCTCGTGAGGACACTGGCCAGATGCTCTGACCCAGGCGTGCCTTTTCTCCCTTCCAAACAGCACACATCTGAGATTCGGACCTCTCCGGGTCCAGGCACCCCCGAAGTCTGGTCCTCCACTATTTCCCAGGGCCTGAAATGATGGCTGGCCGACAGCGGACTGAATAGTCACTGAATTAACTACCTCAACTTTAAACATAAACAAATTCAAAGTGGGGGTGTCCTATGCAGTTGCCCACAAACATCCCAGTGTGTTTCAAAAGCTTCATATTATTTATTAATTTATTTTTAAAAGCATTTTATGAGCTGGTTGCTGGAACTGTGCGAGATGACATCACCACAGAGGTAGTATGTACTCTCAAGGTAAAGGAAAACGCACGTTTCCAAAACTGCTTGCTTATATTCTGGCTGGAGATGTTTATTGACTAAACTTTTTTTTTTCAATACCTTAAGTCGATTTCCTATTTCTTTACACCATACGCACACCTATAGAATTAGTGAGCTGGTTTTTACCAAATTTCACTGCTGCATTGTCAGAATAGAAAGAAAAACAAGTAGTTACTAGGCATATATTCTTTTGTTCTCTTGACATTTTCTTTTGGCATTTCATCCCATCTTGCTGGAAATATTCTTACTAGAGACAGTCCATCGTTACTAGTTTTTGTGTACTGTCTGTATTTCTGCCCCCTGCACATACACATTACGCGTGCGTGCGTGTATGTGTGCGTGCGCCCACAAGTTACACTGCATGAGGCCAAATGCCAAGAACACAGCCCTGCACAGCATCTGTGCTCAGTGAGTATGTGCTGAGTGAATCTTAAATCAACGAAACAATACATTAAAAGTTAAAGTAATTATAAACTTAAGCATAAATATTATAACATGTTTCTACATCTTAAAACTTAGATTTTTAGCACGCTAATTAGACTATGGATAAATGCTGACAAGAAAATATGCATGAAGTGCCTATTCCATAGGATGCTTTTTTAAACTAGAACGCGTCACCACCAATAAATATTTGGGAATTTGTAAGTAAACTCCAAGAGTATTACTGCTTATCTCTGTTAGACCACAGCTAAAACACAGATGTGTTGCAGTGTATAAAGCCTGAATTTCCCAGCTCCACTGAACTGTAAATACTTGATGCATTTAAATGTTTCTGAAAACTACAATAATATGTGAAATTAAATCAACAGAATGCCAGTACTAACATGTGAAAATAATTTACATGTACACTTGAAAGTGTCTGCTCTTAAAAAGAGTAGCTCTTTCCTGATCTGACTTATGTGAAAACATAAACTTTCTGTTGACAACATTTTATAGAAAAATCAGATAATGATGAGCACTGGGTGTTATATGCAACTAATGAATCACTGAACACTACATCAAAAACTAATGATGTAAATTGAACATAAATTGAAAAAAAATAAAATGCCCAATTAAATTTTGAACCAAAAAAAAAAAGAAAGAAAACAGATACATTTCATTAATACTTGTTTTCTATTCTACTTTATGGATAGATTTCCTTGCAAACATTCATACTTCCGGTGTTACCTCCCTCGGTAACTGAAAACTCACTACAGAGAGCAATGGTCAATCACAGCTATCGTACTATCGTATTTGGTTGCTTCTCTTGATTTTTTAATCTTATCATCACACAGCTGTTGGAAATAGTTTTAGGGGATAAGATATTGATAATGCTTTTTTTAAAAGGCAGATTATATCAACCAATTCAAGAAGCAATAATTTCTTGTATAAAACAAGTGCTGTTTGGCATGGAGATCCACAGTTATGACAGGTTTGATTCTGTAGTTGGGGCAGAGCCGGGGGATCAGGAGGGAGCACGGGCAGCCAGGCAGGGCCATGGGGGCTGAGCCATACGAAGGGCCTTTGGAGGCCCCTGCTGGGCTGTGAGCAGTGGACAGAAATGATTACTCTGCTTTAGAAATGTCACTCTGTGGCTACCAGACAAGAATGGGGGCCAAGGAAACCAGCCAAGGGGAGAGATGATGGGGTTCTGTAACAGGATGGTGAGATGGGCATGAAGGGGGATAGATTAATTCAGGTTACGTTCACGGGGAATAACTGACAGAGTTTGAGACTGATGTACTGAGTCAGAGGGACCAGTCAAGAATGACACCCAAAATTCTGCCTGAAACAACCGGGGACACAGTCATCACACTCACTGAAATAGGAGGAAATTTGGGGACAAGTCCTACAGTCCAGGCTGAGATTCCACCAAGTTGTAAAGAAAGAGGTGTTAAATAGACAGGGGTGTATGTAGGCTTGGAGCTAAGTGGTTTGGGCTAAAGATCTACACTTAAACCATCAGCGCATACATGATAAGGGACAACATAGGAGTATTTAAGAATGCCAAAGAAATAAGAAGAAAGAAAAGAGAATAAGACTACATCAGAGGACTGAAGAACATCTATACTGGGGAGATACATTATAGAGTAATTTGCAAAGAAATTTAAAAAGAAGTGGCCAAAAGAGTAAGGAAATGATTAGAGAAATAACCCAAGGGCAGCATATATTTCAAGAAGGGAGTTATCAAGTGTCAAATTCTATTGGGAGAGTAAAAGTAAATTTCATTATTGCCTGTACGAAATAATTAGATGGCAAGGCAGAAATAAACAAGAGACTTCGCTATCAACACGACTGTGGAAATAACGTCTGTCCTTTTTTACCTCCTGTTCAGTCATGTGAAAGAAGCAGACAGATGCATGTTCTCCAGAGTAGCTGTATGGGCTGCCAAAAGTCCCTGGGATCACACTGGGGCTGGGTGTGGGAAGCCAGGAAAACAGTGACAGGTCCTGACAGGGGCCAGCTTCACAAAGAGCCAGCAAAAATCAACTCCCTAACGGTGAAGAAGCCCTCATGTGCACACAGAAATCTCCGACAAACTCACAGTCCAGAAAATGCCCATGTTGGCTAAAAGAACGTGGAAGACGAGGAGGAAAAAAATCATTGAAATGAAAATAAAAGTTTCAGAATGGGAAACAGGTTTTGCACAAAACAAAGTAAGGTGGAAAGAGTTTAGAATTTGAAAAAAAAAAAAAAAGAGAGAGAACTATCAAATATATAGGACCTGTAAGACAGGTCAAGAATTACCAGCATACACGTCATTGGAACCCTGGTAGACAAAACCAGCAACAACAAAAAGTCAAGCAGAGCAACCACAGACAGGGAGGTGTACCCTGGGCCAGGGAAGTTGATTCCATATAGCT